TATATAACACATAGCATAAAATTGCTAACTTGGCTGACTCCATAATTAGTTTGGAGATCTGAGCTTGTGATGGATGAAAAGATACAGCACTTGTAGCAGAAGGCCTTTGCCTATTGACAACTCAGCTATGGATATATCATTTTCATCTGTGTCATCCTGCCAGGCAATTTGGTCTGTATCCTGAATAAAGTCCAGAGCCCATCTGGAGTCAAGGCTGTGAAGTGCGATGATTGATGTCAGATAGCTTTTGTTGGGTGGCCTAATGCCCGCTCATTTAACAAACGATGTTCTATCAAGCTATACATAAAACTTTAATCTGGATATTCACTGAAAGTATTAAACAGAAGTGTGGAGGCTTAACAAATCCAGGGAACATGCCATGCCAATTATATTGAGCTGGGAGGTCACCAGACCACTGAAGAGATGTGGAAATCAAAACAACTATATTCCAGCCCTGCGGGGATAGGGGAAGAGGAATCTTTCAGCAAAGCAACATTTTAAGCAAACATAAAGGCTTTATATGAATCCGTACATCTTGCCCCAGGATATAATGCACAGTGTATAAAATGCTAACAACAATCTTCCGCACTATAAAGAACAACCCATTTCCAGCATGTGTGAAGTGTGTCCAAGGTCAATACGACAGTATGACAGGAGATAAATGTGGAAATATGTTTAAAGCCTGTAATATGTAACATTTGCTTAACCAAAGCTGTTCTTTTGACTAATTTTTATTTAGCAAATAACATTTCACTCCTATGGTATATATATATGTGTTTAAAACAACTTTAGTTTGTTTCAATGTTTTATGAAGGCTAAGAGTGTCTACACTTAAATACCACATTACACTTGCAATGGGCCTCTGCGCTTAATTGTTTTATGTTAGATACTCTTAAATATAACACACGGATCTCTCCATTTGGCTGGCTCTGTGTTCATTTTACAGTGAACATTACAGAGTAGAGTTGTAATAAAGAGAGGCACAGTGTGACTGCCACAACCTGTAGTCAAATGTCACGTCATCCGATGTAGCTCATATAGAATTCAGAACCCATTGGGTAGTGGAAGAGACTAGATTAGTAACTGAGGAGGAGCTGCAGCATAGGAATTTCAGATAAAAATACAGATATAAAACCATGAAAAAATTAAACATCCATTCCATTATATATGGTTATCTATGAGGTGTGAAAATTTAAATCTCGGAAAGCCCACATCGTAGCACTATGGTGGCGAGTCACACAGACATTTGCACTCGAGTGTGTTCTGACATGTCCTAACTTGTATCCACCTGGGTCGCAGACCAGTTGACCCAGTCCTCACAGAGTAGTAGAAGAAATAACACGTGTGTGTTGCGCTGTTGGCAGAAAATGAGTGACACGAATCTGGAGCAGCAGATTAACATCAAATTTTGTGTGAAAATTGGCAAAAAGTGCCAGTGAAACTTTAGCTCTGTTACAACAGGCTTACAGTGACAATTTCATGAGGAAATCAAGTGTTTGGAAAGCCATAGGTGGTTTAACCATTTACAGACCTGCCACAGTACATTTACTGCAGCAGGGAGGCAGCTGAAGGTACAGTCACGTATCTATACATGAGTCTGCCTTTTCTGGGTTAGGAGTGCATCCCTCCTGTGCAGGGGTGGACTGACAACTCATGGGGCCCTGGGCAATAGGGGATCATGGGGCCCCTGTGTCCTTGCCCAAACTCAAAAAAGCCTATGAAAAAGGTACTCATGGGGCCTCCTATTGACCCCGGGCCCTCGGGCAGTCCCCGAGTTTCCAAATGGTCAGTCCGCCCCTGCTCCTGTGACACAGCCAATTTCTGTTAGTGGTAACCGGGTATCATGTGATCGCTATGATTGGTCATAGTGATCACATGATAACAATGTAAACAACCTGTCCTGAATGGCTTTCCATTCATGACCAGCTTGCTTACTGCTGTGATCTGTGTATGGCCCACAGTAATCATATGGTACCTGGCTACCTGTACCATGTGATTAGCTATAACCAATCACAGATCACAACCATACAAGCTGTTCATGAATGGGAAACCCATTCATGACAGTAAAAACTTTTACAGTGATCATCACTGTATAAAAAAAAAAAAACCTGATCACCCCCGAAAGTAGTACAGTGTCATTATGGTGACACTGAGCTACTCTGATGACAGAAGTTAAAACAAAGTTTTAAAAATTTTTTATAAAAAAGTATTTTTTTTAACATATTGTCACCAGTCAGTATCCCTGATCATCACTACACCAATCATATGAAGACACTATACAGCACTGGTGAGAGTATGTAAAAAAATTAGAAAAAATTACCATTTCCAATCATTTGCTATATCTCTTAATAAATACCTCAGAATGTCTACTTTTAAAAAAGTGGTCATCTGGGGGGTATCTGTACTGTCCTGGCATATTGGAGCCTCAATAAATGAGGCCATTAGTACATCAGGATTGATCAATATTCAGATACAGTATACTGTATATACCATAGTTTGTAGATGCTATAACTTTTATACAAACCAGTAAATATACACCTATTGGAATTTGTGTTTTTTTATACCATAGATGTAGCAGAATACATTTTGGCCTAAAGTTATGAAGAAATATTTTTTTATTGGATATGATTTATAATAGAAAGTAGAAAATATTGGGTTTTTAAATTCTTGGTCTTTTTTCGTCTATATAATAAACAGTAAAAAAAAAACCCAGTGGTGATCAAATTCCACCAAAGAAAAACTCTATTTGTGTGAAAAAAATTATAAAAATGTAATTTGCGTACCGTATTGCATGACTGCACAATTGCCAGTTAAAGTAGCACAGTGCTGAATAGCAAATAATGACCCAGTCATGTAGGGAGTAAAATCTTCTTGAGGGCAAGTGGTTAGGTAGAGGCAGAAAGATGACACAAATGGTGAGAAGCCAAAAATACAATGGACAGAATGCAAACCCTCATACACTCAAGTCAAAGATTGAATTCACATATATTGACTGAAGAATTAAACATGAACAGGGAAATAGTGCGGCAGACAGAAGATTTGGGAATGAGAAGAATTTCTGCAAAGATGGTACATCAAATCTTGACAGAAGATCAGAGAGAACGTCATCTTCAAATTCCATCCTAACTTTTGAAGAATGCAGAGGTGTCTGATTGGGTTCTTACTTGGTCCATTCCAGGAATTAAATTGTCACACCTCGCATTGTAATCTACCAATCTGACTGATTTCTATGGGTAGAAATTCACATTTTATTTCTCTGGATTTTGAAACTCTTGTGTTGTTTAAAACTTTTGTTTGAGGTGAGTTGTTTGTCCCCAGATCTAGTAGTATATATAAGCTCAACGATGGACACAAAATAATAAAACAGTCAATATCATTATATCATTAAGAGTTTCAAGATATGTCTGTCTTATGGAAAGGATTTTCTTATCCAGAAAATTTAACTCTTAGAGGCACAGATTTAAAAACCTATTCTCAGCACAGTTTGGTTTGTGTAAGTAAAATGCTTTAGAACAGCAGAACTAGGCAATGCTAACAGCGGTTGCTAAGCAAAGCAGCAAGAAAACAACAAAACCACCACAGTACATCATCCATCAGGAGCTAGTGATGAGAAACAACTTCTGTTACACTTCGCTGGATTCCATGATGCCTTCACTCATCTCACTCTTTTATTAATTACTCTCACTGTTTCTTGTATCCACCACATGTTAAATTACAGCCTGTGTCTCCTTCACTACATATTATCTATCTGCCTGTGACAACGTACCAATTCCTCATCTCCTACATTCCAGCAATGATAGATAAATGAAGTATGTACCACATACTTTGAACTTTAAATAAAATATCAATTCTTTCTATCTTGCATTTGGCAATTAAAATATATGGATTGGGAAATTAAAGAGAAACACCATGCAACTCAGCCAACCTTGACCCCATAGCTCAAATAAAACTAAAAATGGGTTCAGTACCTCTAATCACAAAGAAAATTTAAGTAACGGTTACATTTGATATCTAAACATCTCTAATAACACATTTATGAGAACTTATATAGTATAAAAAAGTACATACTAATTCTTTATCATTTGCATGTAAAATTTTCAAAAAAGAAATGTGCAACAGGATTATTATATACATAATATTTAATACTAATTATATTGTTATTCTAGTTATAACCTGAGTGTATAATCACTTAACCCCATGCCCTCCAGAAGGTTTTACCCCCTTCATGACCAGGCCATTTTTTGCTATGCAGCGCTGCACTACTTTAACTGACAATTGTGCAGTCATGCAACACTGTACATAAATAAAATGTAAATATTTTTTTTCACACAAATAGGTCTTTCTTTTGATGGTATGTGATCACCATTGGGTTTTTCATTTTTTACTACATAAACGAAAAAAGGCCGAAAAAAAATATTGTTAAGTTTCTGCTATAAACATATCCAATAAAAACAAAAAAAAAATCAAACTTTGCACTCGCATCATGAAGATGTATTCCCTTCCACTGAACCAAATATCACTGAGTGTTGCCCCTAGGTAATTTTATATATATTATAAAGGATTTATTTTTTTAATACAGCTGTTAACTACTTGATTTCTTTTATTCACATAGTATTTTATTACACTTTTTATTTATTAACCACTTGCCCTCTTGAGGATTTACCCCCCTTCCTGACAAGGCCATTTCTTGCATTATGGCGCTGCGTTACTTTAACTGACAATTACACACGGTCATGTAACGCTGCACCCAAATGAAATTTACAACCTTTTTTTCGCATTAATTGAGCTTTCTTCCAGTGGTATTTGATTGCCTGTGCATTTTTTATTTTTTGCCCTATAAAAAAAAAAGACCAACAATTTTGAGAAAAAAAAAAATATTTTTTACTTTTTGCCACTAAACATCTCCAGTAAAAAAAATTAAAAAAAATTAAATTTCATCATAAATGTACACCAAAATGTATTCTGCTACATGTCTTTGCTAAAACAAATCCAAATATGTGTAAATTAATTGGTTTATGTGAACGTTATAGCATTTAAAAATGGCGGTATATATACTGGGATTTTTTTGTTATTTTTACTAGTAATGGTGGCAATCAACAACTTATAGTGAGACTGAGGTGGACATTCTGACACTGGGGGGAACTGACTTGGTGTCACCGACATCCCCAGTGACACCAATACAGTGATCAGTGCTAAAAAAAAAAAAAAAAAAAAAGCATTAGCACTATACTAATGGCACTGGGCAGGAAGGGGTTAACATGAGGGGTGATCAAAGGATTAACTGTGTGCAGGGAGTGTTTTACTGGGGGCTGTGTCAGTGTGCTTCACTGTAATCACACTGCTCTGGATGGCTGTGCAGCCATCCAGAGCAGTGTGCCCGAGCTGACAGGGAGGAGAACTGTTAGTAAACAAAACAGTCCGCCTGCCCATCAGAGATCTTCAGAAATCACCGGACGTCGGCGAGTAATTACTAGCTGGAACCCAGTGATTGACAGCTGGTGGCACGGGTAGGGCACGCGCGCCCCCTATCCAGGACTGCAAAATCACGTATATATACATGATTTTGCACACCCCTGCCATCCTGTAGCAGTATTTTTGCTATAGGACAGACGGGAAGTGGTTAAATCACTGTATCAATTGAGTGGATGCATAAGTGTGGAGTGGGTTATCTAATAAGATTTGTAATGTAGACTTCTGAAGTTACCAAAAAGGTTCAGAGGTAAGCAAACCTGCACTAAGAGAAATAAATAGACAAAATACTGGCAAATATACAGTAAATATTTCAAAAATCTTAGTGGCCTGGCTGTCATCTGGATTAGATACCTTTAGTATTTTCACTTATCTTGGGCAAGTATGTAGTTCAGTATTTGCGCCACTCTTCTTCTTGATTCATAAAGTAGTGAAACCACAAACAGCCAGGCAACTAACCTGTCCATGAGGATATCAGTGGCAACCTGCACATTTCTTTCATTACACGTTATCTTAGATAAATGACATTCATAATTCACTTTAATAAATATGTTATGAGGGGATTGTAGGATGCTGCAATCCTACATATTGTGATTTCACTAACCCTCTTTTTCAAAATGCCAATTACAAGGCAGTCATGCTGTCCCTTCAGTTTCACCATTGCCTGAGTTATTGGCATGAAAGTAGTTGGCACATTTACATGCTGGGAAAGTAAAATAAATAAGTAAATAAATTCTTGCTTCCACATGATTAAATGTTGGAAGTCAGCAGAGCGTCACCTCATTCATTAAACTAAGGAAAAATTCACTGGTGAGTGAAAATTCCCCTGTAAAGTGAACAGTCTATGTATCTTTAGGAAATTAACCCCTTGCATACTAGTTCCAGGTTGGAAACAACTGCTTATTCCACCAATTGACTATCTAGGATGTGTCATATACACTACTGAATAAAAGTTTTAGAACACCCCCATTTTTCTAGTTTTTATTGAAATGTAAACAGTTCAAGTCCAGTGAATAACCTGAAAAGGTACAAAAGGTAAGTGGTAAACTACCAGATGTGGAATGTGGGAAAAAAACTTTAGGTTAATAGGTAAATAATGTACAAAAAGCTCTTCTTCAGGGAAGAAACAATGGGTGAACAACTTACAGTTGTTCTGCAACAATGCAAGTAAATTAAGTCTTGAAAGTTTATGCTAACAATTTCTATAGGTGTCCCAAATTGTGCTGATTACTTACAAGCTCAAGGTCTGTATAAAAGCAGTGTTGAAACAGACTGTGTTATTACACCCACCTAAGCAATATTTGAACAGTACTGTATTGCAGGAAGTAGTATATTGCTCTCCAAATGGTGAGAAAAGGGCCATTAACAAAGGAAGCCAGACAGATCATCATAATCCTTAAAAGTGTAGGTCTTTCTGTTAGAGAAATTTCAAAGAAAGCCAAGGTGCCAGTGAGTACAGTTTCTTACACCATAAAAAGGCACTTGGAAACTGTGGAACACTCTAAAAGAATGAGGTCTGGCAGACCCAAAGCCACAGCAGAATCAGAAGAGTCAACATTTTTCATAACAAGCAGCTCACAGGACAACAGCTTAACACTGATCAAAGTAGGCAAGTCTCAGTTTCAGCTGTGAGAAGACTTTGAGCTGCAGGTTTGACAGGTTGAGTGGCTGTAAGAAAGCCATTGCTAAGATAGCAATATATGAAAAAGAGGCTTGCCTGGCCCATGAAGCACCACCAGTGGACCATTGAAGACTGGAAGAAGGTCTTATGTACCACCCTACAGTGCTTCTTCTCCAATCACCTGCTCATCCTGTGAACTTGGGGCCAAAAAAAAATCGTCAGAATGGCAAACAAGAAGAGAGTGGGGAATCTCAATGTCCCTGATCTCCCCTGTGCAGAATGAACCTCTAAGCAATGTGGTCTGAGCAGTTCTGAATGCAAGCCATTGGATCTTAGCTACCCAGCTAGATAAATAGCAAATCAGGGACAGTAAATATATAAATTATTTTTGCATTTTAGAATGCATATTAAAAAATGGAAAAAGTATAGCTGGCCGGGGTTTTTTTTTTTTTCTAAATTCTTTACTTAGTTTACAGGTACAAAGTACCCCCATGTTATGATATCACATATAAGAGCATAAACACGCACTTACATATCAATGGAGACAGAAAGTTGCAACCACTGTATAAGTTAATATTCAAACTAAACTCATTTAGAAAGGAACTTTTTAATCACATCGTAGTATAATAACATAGTGTTAGCCGGGGCACAAAAGGGCCACTGCAAGGTTTTTTCTTTCAGGTCATGGAAGAGTAGAGGAAGAAAAGAACAAGAAAATAGAGGCTTGCTTCTTATAGGGTGCTTTCCTCTTAGCCCAACACCTGGGGATAGGCCCCAAGAATCTCCTTATACCCAGACAATTGCATCATATACCACTTTTCCAGCAATTAAAGCCTCAGTTAATGAAGCCCTGTGGGGAACCAGTACCATATTTAGCAATTTATAGCCAGACTCCCAGAATCTTTTAGAAATTGTGACTCAAAAAAAAATGGAGAACTTACAAACAAAATGTTGAAGAGTCTTGTTGTTCTCTCATGAATTGTTGATTGAGATCCCTCTCCTATTTATCTAGAAATAGAGGGGTATAGTCCTCAGGATGGGTAATGAGATGGTAAGAGCATGGAGGAGCAGAAAGGGGTCCTTATGAACAGTTTAAAAATGTTGACCTGAGTGAGGTCTGGTTATTTTGGGCTACAAGGAGGTCAACAATCCTTGTAGGCCTGGGAAGAACTCAGGATTAACAGCACCATTAGGAGAGGTTTGATCAAATGCAAGTTATACATTTCAATTTCTTGACAGTCCTTTCTGTGGTCCGTATCAAAGGGTGTTTTTGACTGCTACATGACTGAATGGTGGAAGCCATGGACGTGTGTGGAGGGGAAAGGGTCACATGGTCTGTTCAAGGACCACACACTCTTTAGTTTTTTGTTTACACCAGCCTATGTCACCTGCGAGGTGTACAGCATGATGGCATTGTAGCAGGTTGGTTAGACCAAGATCTCCTCTGTATGTTAGTAGGCTAAGGGCTGTGTTTTTAATTCTGGGAAGATAGTCTTCCCACAGAATTAGGTGAATCCACATTTCACCTTTCTCAAAAAGGTGTGTAAAATAGGGATTGGGAGGGCTTGGAGAAGTTACAGCAGTAGGCTAGTACATTTATTTTCAGAATGTTATTCTTCTTAAACCATGTACTGTATGTCTGAGTGGTTTTCATCTTTGCAGGTCAGGTTTAATTGCTGAAAGAAGAGGCAAATACTTTTCCTTGAAAATACCTTCAATTATTGAGTTCATTTATTTTCCCACTTGAATGAGAAGTTAAATGTAATAGAATTTAAAGGAGGAGTACTGTTGATATTTGATTCCCGTTTTACCAGGTTGATTTTGTAAATAGAAAATTTTGAATAGGTCTTGAGTTCCTGTGGGAGGTTAGGAATAGTAAGCTCTGGCACAGTAATGAAGAATAGTAGACCATGGGTGTAGGAAGCTTGCTTTTGTTGCGTTCCCCTACTTTAAAGCCTGTGACATTAGTGTTACCTCAGATACACCTCAGGAGGCACTCAAGAATCAAAATGAAAATAAATGAGGAAGTGGACAGCTTTTGCTGAGTTAGACCAGCTAATGTAAAGGCTATGGAGACAGTTTCATTCAGCTTTGCCATTGCAACTAAATAAAAAAAACACATCCACCCACTGAATCATGTATGCATCTAGGCTTATATGAATGAGTGTTAGTTTTAGAAATTCCCACAATTTACCCTGTCAAAGGCCATCTCTGATTCAGCTAAAAAAGCAGTGAAGAAACTTCAACCTGGTAAAGTGTATGAGATTGGTGGTCCTACAGATGCTGTCCCTGGCCTGTTTACAGGCCATAAATCCTACCTGGTCATAGTGAATGATCCATGACAAATGGGAGATGGTTAGCCAGTGTTTTTGTAAAGTGCTTTAAATCAGTGTTTAAGAGTGAGATTGACCTATATCTTGAACAGAGTGATGGGTCTTTATCTTCCTTGGCACCACTGCTATGTGAGCAGATGGTATCTTTGGGAATAGGGTGTCCCTACAGAATAGAAAAAATATGTCTTGATAAGCGAAGTAGATAAGCTAAGTAGATAGTTGCTATTGGAAAGTTTTGTGATAGATGTCAGTGAACCAGTACTTAATGGCTAAAGGGAATTCATACTAAATTACTAGGCTTTCCATTGAGTCTAGAACTTGAGGTGATATTTTCGAGGGATTAGATTCCACCAGGCTACCCATATTTTTCATTATATAAACATTTTTAATAGACTTTGCATTGTTTGAGAATGTAAGTATACTATCTTTTCTAGTTGAGACTTCTATAAACTGCATTATAAAATTGTCTTTTATTAAATTTACGAATTTCCACTCTTACTTTTCCAGCAGTCACTCTCCCAACCTGTGCAGTCCTTTCTATCTGTCTTACTCTAGTTTGCAGGGAGTTTTTCTTTTTTGACCAGAAGGTCCACTTCCCTTCATAATGTTTAGGTCTGAATTTTTTTATTACAGTGCTTCACATGCTCTTGGTTTGCTATGGATACTACTTCTTATTTTCACGTTTTTGTATCAGACATGGAACATAATATTTTTGGTTCTAGTTTCAGTCGTTTTTTCCACCCAGTTATATTCTAATCACATGGACTTTAATGATCTTTAATGATCACCAATTGTCTTTATAAAATATCCCTATTATTACATTGACTGGATATGTACAATGTAGGCACGTCTTTGTATGCATTGATACTGTTAATATATACCCTTTTCACTACCAATAAATACACTTTTGGATTAAAAAAAGCTTGAAAAATCCTCCCTTGCAGTGGGACACTCACTGCACTGCATGATTTTGCTAGTTTATGGTTAAGATACCAGTAAAAACTATGTTTACTTATCTAATCCCTGCTACCACAAGCTTCCTTCATGCTTTGTGGCTGGCCTTCACAGCCTCTGGTCTAAGTGGTCACAAGTACTCTGACATCATCAAGTATAATGCAGGGCCAATAGCTCTGATTGAATGTAAGGAGGCTGAGGGACTGCCTACAATCTGTAGCATCAGGGAGAAGAGTAAAGTTCTGTTTACGGGTACCCTAGGAATGAATGAACAGTTAACCCTTGCTGTGTGGGGGGAGCACTAAACAAGGTAGGATTTTTCAAAAGCACAATAAAATAACAAACAGGCCAACATGTAAGGTTAGCCCAGAATCAGAGCTAGTAAGCATTCATCTATATCTGAAAATACATTATATGAATATGGAATAGCAAGCAATTTTATCATATTTTCAGAGACAAATTAACAGATTGCTTATTCGTTTCCAAATATAAACTGGATGAATTATGAGCAGTGATTATCTTGGAGAAACAGCTGGATTTTTGCAGACTTTTAAAACTGTTCTTTTTGAAAAACATAAATTTCATTGCAAATGCTTGTTGAATAAATATCTGCTGTAGAGATACTGATCTTCTGTGCTTAATGCAAAACAGCACTTTTTCTTGCTTTTAAGGCTTGTGATCTTGTAATTTAAATAGGCTTTAAATATCTTAAAAATAGGTAAGCATTACCTATACTCTGCAAGCAAATTAGAAAATAATGTAAAATATTTTTCTGACTTTGGGCAAATCCTTTTTTTAAGTTTCTTGCAACAGGTAGTATTGTGTTGGTTTATACCTCTCATTCTTACAATACTGTGATTTTTTTTCACAGCTGCCTGTCTGAAGGGATAACAAACCACAAAAAAGGACATCCTGGGAAAAATGTAATTCACATTTGGATGGTTAGAGCATTTATTGTTTGAATTTGAGTGGTGACCCCTGTTCTGCATTAAACACCCAAATTTAATTTGTACATATTGCTATTTATTCTGAACCTGTATGCAGAAACGTATCAGAATAAAACTTTTTTAGTAAATAACTGGTCAATCCTGCTGTTTCTAAGGACTTCCCTACTGTTAGTGGCAATGATACAGCAGTTGATCCTCAGCTGTATTGTTCCCTTACTCCATAACTATCTTCTCCACCAGTTCCCTTATAAAGGTTATTCCCTTTCTTCTTTACTCTGTAACCCACCCCACATGGTCATTTTTGTTGGCTGGACGGGTGACTCTAGCAAGTTGAATGACAGGTGCCTGTCTCTAACCCTCCTCAGCCAACTGGTTAGGCAATTTTACCCATCCCTGCAGACACCACTACTATGATGCTTGTATTTCTTCTAGCAGTGGCTACTTCTCCTCATCCTACCTATGTGCCCGTTTCAAGGCAACAAGCCCGGTTCTGGTAGGACTGCCCACTCCAATCTTAATGGCCAAAAGGCAGCTGAGGGGAGAGGGACAGGCATCATGGCATTGGCAGCTGCAGGGAGAGAAAGAGAGAGTTGGGGATAAAAATGGCTGAGAGGTGGCCTGAGGAGGGACACAGACAGATGACTTAAGAGCATATGTCTGGCTCCTAACAATTGGCATCAGCTTCCTCTCCCCTGCTATCCCTTCTTTTTTTTTTTTATATTGGCGACCACAATAAACTAAACTTTTTGCTTGCCCCACCCCCCTATTTCACAGTGCAATGTGGAGCAATACACCACATCACAAGACCAAACTCTATAGACACCCTCGCAGAACAAGAGAGCTGTGCTCTAGCCCTCTTTCAGCTATTGCGCTGTATTAAAGTACTTAATGACTGTAGAACACAGTAATTAATTAAAAAAAAGTCTCTTGTAAGAATGTGAATAGTAAAGGCCACTGATAGTGACAGGGATGTAATGAAACCAACCTTATATGAGAGGTGTCCACAAATTAGGGCGTAGTGGCCCAGCCAAAGTCAGAGCGCCACTAGTCTAGATTTAGTGGGCAGCAAGACTGTAACCAGCCTAGGTTCTGATTAATATTGTTTTTGCTACTTGATGGGTTTCCCCTAAGATTAGAGTTTTGAATATGCATTTTACCCCAGCCAATCACTAAGATTTTCATGGCAAATGGTCTAAAGGGAATAATTATGTAAGAGAGATAGAGAGGAGTCAGTTAAACCTGTATAGGAACTATCTGCAAAAGTCTTTAGCTGATACTATACTTTTCCACCAGATCTTGAATATTTAAATAATTTGCTCAGTAAAGATGAGAAAAAAGAAAAAATTATGTGTGTCATTTGTTTAACAAAACCTTTTTTTCACTATTGTTATTATGGAGTTTGCATGTTCTCCCTGTGCGGGTTTCCTCTGGGTACTCCGGTTTCCTCCTAGACTTTAAAGACATGCTGGTAGGTGAATTGGATCCTGTCTAAATTGGCCCTAGTATGTGTATGTATGAATGTAAGTTAGGGACCTTAGATTGTACGCCCCTTGAGGGTTAGAGACTGATGTGAATGTATAATATATATGTAAAGTGCTGCGTAAATTGATGGCGCTATATAAGTATCTGAAATAAATAAAATAAAATAAATAAATGACCTAAACATTTCATACTGAGAGTTCCTCATGGTTCACTCCTCTGAATGCCTCTGACACTTAACAGGTTCACTGGAATGTTATTGTTGTAGAATTCATGGAAGAGGGATTTTATTTATCTTTGCAAGTGTCAATGTGGCACTATTTTTCTTAAGACGATATAGAAATCAAATACCACTTCACATTTTTCAACATATGTTCAGTGACTGTTTTTGATGGAAAGGTAGAATACCCTGAGCTTCCACCTCCTCAATTTAGTAGTCCAACTCGCTCTGCTGCTCATTGTAGCCTAGTAGCTTTAACAATATCCACACTCTATCACTACATTTTCCCTACAAGCAGTAAAAAGATCTCTCTACATTACCATCTCCCTCAAAGCCATAATAAACAAGACACTGGCAGGAGGATCCTGTGTATACCAGAGAGAACAGAATCTTTTTTCATGCCTTTCCTTGGTCTTTTTAGAGGTCAATGTCTCCTGGAAATCTGAACTCAAGGGACCGTATATTACACATTGTTAACCACTTGCCCTCCTGAGGATTTACCCCCCTTAATGACCAGGCCCCTGTTTGCTACTCGGCGCTGCACTAATTCAACTGATAATTGCACGGTCGTGCAATTGATCGCCTGTGCACTTTTTATTTATTGCACTATAAAAAAAAGACCAACAATTTTGAAAAAAAACAAACAAACAATATTTTTGACATTTTGCTATTAAACATGTCCAGTAAAAAAATTTAAAAAGTCAACTTTTGTCATATATTTACACCAAAATGTATTCTGCTACATGTCTTTGCTAAAAACAATTCCAATATGTGTAAATGAATGTGAAAGTTATAGCATTTACAAATGGCAGTATATATACTGGGATTTTTTTTATTTTTACTAGTAATGGTGGCAATCAGCAACTTATAGTGGGAATGAGGTGGACATTCTGACACTAGGGGGAACTGACTTGGTGTCACTGACATCCACAGTGACACCAAAACAGTAATCAGTGCTAAAAAAATTCACGGACACTGTACTAATGACACTGGACAGGAAGTGGTTAACATGAGTGGCGATCAAAGGATTGTGTGCTGTTTTACTAAGTGCTGTGTCACTGTTTCACTGTAAGCACACTGCTTTGGATGGCTGTGCTGTGCACAGCCATCCAAAGCAGTGTGCACGAGCTGACGGGGAGAACTGTTTTGTTTACAAACATTTCTCCTCCCCAATGGAGATGCTTGGCAATCACTGGGCCTCAGCGAGTAATCACCGGGTGGGACCTGGTGATTGACAGCCACGTCTGCAAACAGCGGTGTGGGTAGGGTACACACATGCCCCCTACCTGGTAATGCAAAATCACATATATATGTACATGATTTTGCACACCCATGCCACCCTGTAGCAGTATTTTTACTATAGGGCAGTCGGGAAGCGATTAACAGTTTACGGTTAAGGAATATGTTCACCTTTTGAAAAAAAAAAAAAAAAACACTGGCTGATTGCACTTGTAGTCTAATTAATTCATTCATCATGGCCATGCTGTTTTCAAATTCTGACAGCGGGTGTGGGAAAATATCAATGTAACATGCTCCTAAAGGTAAACTTAGCCTTTAACTTAAAGGGTTAGTGTTGGGTAATCTAGTGTTACCTACTGTTAGAGACATGGCAACCATTATTGTTAAAGTAGTTCTATTGTCACAGCATACCCTTTCAATTTATAACATTAGCATTGTAATAGCAATACAAACAATAGTTACAGTATATTCTGTTTCACAATCCAATTGAAGCTTACTTGAAAATGTTCCTTTCTTGTTGCAAGTGCTGCAAATTTGACGGCCATCTCTTTCAATCTTCAATCTGGTCTTCTCTTTATCCCCTGCATGTTTTGCAGCTTCTTCTCTTCTGTTTACTTTTAATTTCTAAGGACTACATATCCCAGGGTACCATGCTGTGATTCCTGTACAAACTCCTCCTCCTCTCAGCACCTCTGTAGTTCAGGAGGCAGGCTCTGTGAAATGTGTGACACAGCAGTGCCTATTCACAGGGCATAGTGAATAGGTGTCACAGAATGCAAGGGATAAACATGTGTGGGGATCTTCACAAACTAAGTTTACTGATTTGGAGATCATTCAGATTAATATGGGTAGGTTAGAAATAACTGAAATATAATTAGGAAACAAATAAATAATTTTAAATGTTGACCATAGGTACACTTTTGGGGTTAAGGATAGGTTATAGTATATTGGGGGAATTCTGAACATGGCTTCAGTCAAGCTATAGGCCTGAGAGAGTTTATGATCTCATTCCCCTCAGATCTTCTAGCTAGATTAAGTAAAATTTCCATCCAATATTCTAAAACAGAAGTGTAACTGAAGTAAAGCCGCCTTGTAATGCCTGAACATATCAGCCAAGATCTTCCATAGAACTCTAAAGCTTTAATGTATCATGCATTCAATGTCTTGAGAAAGGAAAGATGAGAGGTGGCATGCCCTCTCTCACTCTTAAGCCTTGCTGGTGGTTTCTCCACTGGCCATTACATGCAATGGCCAATAATATAGCTTGAGTGCTGGAGTGCCCTTGACTTTATTTTCTAAAGTCAATGCATCTTAGAAGCTCTTGAAAGGTATGTGTAGGCACCTTCAATTAAGTTGCCAGTGAGAAACTTCTTAGAATTCATTGACTAGTACATGTGTCCTGCTTCAAGCTGGTTTTGAAATCCCACAGACCTATGGGAATTCAAAATAAAAGTTAGAAGTGAACACAAGCCCATCAAGTCCATAAGAGAGAAGACATATCTATCCTATACATGCACCAGTGGTTGAATATTTAACATTGTTTGTGGACCTATTCCCGAATTTATCACTACTGGAAGTCTTTAAGAACAATTTATTTGAATATTGACCCAAATGGATCCTCAGAGGCTAGAATAGCCATTTTTCAAAATAAATCCTAATATCCCTCTATTTGAAGGTGTTCCTGGAAAAAAAAATATTTTGTGACCATATTTTAAATAAATATAATAAGAATGCCCTTTGCTGTGACTAACAAGGACACTGTTTACCATTGGTGATGTATGTGTATTCATCTGCATTGTGGCTGGGCTGTATTTGATCACATTATCTTCCCTGAAATGCATTTAGCCCTATATGCCACTTTATTGGAACAGATAAGCACTGGTTCTACGAAGATATTATGAAAAATTGCAAAGCATGTCAGCATTCAATACATCCCAATAAAAAAAGAGAACATTTTACTTTGTGGATATCCATTGTAGTTCTCTCGTCCTGCCTCTAAATGACTATGTTACCTACACATAATAGTAGGAGGAAGGACATTGTACAGTTGACATTCCTCATAAAAGGTTTGTGTGACAATAAAACTTTGATTTTTTTGCAGTTGCCGCAAAATAGAAATACACAACAATGGACAAATTAACACTTCAGCATTTTAAAATATAGCCTTTCTTCTCTTCCTTTTTCAACGCCTATAATTTTAGGTTAGCAATGGACTTTATTCGCAGAGGAATTCTTGGATAAATGTAAATTGCTATCATGGAGATATAACCATAAAAAGGCAAAACATTGTAATATGTCTAACACCAGTGTTAGCTTGCAGGCACTGTAACAATGCTATTATATTCCTAAAGTTAATTTCTTCAGTTTCAGATTCTTAGGCAAAGGGAGATAATACAAAATATAATAACTGTTATATAACTGCTCAATTAAATAGGGTACTGTGCATGTCTTTTAAGATGTACAGTGCTTTAGATATTTGCAAATAGGAAATAGGTACAACAACTAGCCTTTTTTTTTTTCTAGATTTTTTTTTCAAGAAAAACTATTATTATTATTGATATTATTATTATACAGGATTTATATAGTGCCAACAGTTTGCTCAGTGCTTTACAATATAAAGGGAGACAATACAGCAACAATACAATTCAATACAGGAGGGTTAGTAGTGCCCTGCTCCTGGGAGCTGACAATCTAATAAGGAGGGGCTGGTGGAATAAAAGGTAATAACTGTGAGGGATAAATATTATTATTATTATACAGGATTTATATAGTGCCAACAGTTTGCTCAGCGCTTTACAATATAAAGGGAGACAATACAGCAACAATACAATCAAATACAAGAGGGTTAGTAGTGCCCTGCTCCTGGGAGCTTACAATCTAATAAGGAGGGGCTGGTGGAATAAAAGGTAATAACTGTGAGGGATAAATATTATTATTATTATACAGGATTTATATAGTGCCAACAGTTTGCTCAGCGCTTACAATATAACGGGAGACAATACAGCTCCTTGGAGCTTACAATCTAAGAGGGAGGGGCTAGTGGTACAAAAGGTAGTAACTGTGGGGGATGGACTGGTAGGAGGAGTAGCAGATTCCATTATTAGCCGAGGGCAGGATCGGCTTCCCTGAAGAGATAGGTTTTCAGAGATCGCATAAAAGTAAGCAGAGTAGGCGATAGTCTGATAAATTGGGGTAGAGAGTTCCAGAGGATGGGGGAAGCTCTGGAGAAGTCCTGGAGATGAGCATGGGAGGAGGAGACAAGGGAGCTAGAAAGCAGGAGGTTGTGTGATGAACGGAGAGTACGGTTCGGGTGATATTTGGAGACAAGATCGTTGATGTAATTTGGGGCAGAGTTATAAATAGCTTTATATGTTGGGCAATGGGAAGCCAGTGGAGGGGTTGGCAGAGAGGGGTGGCAGATACAGAACGGTTAGTAAGGTGGATGAGTCTGGCAGCAGCATTCATGATAGACTGAAGAGGGGATAGCCTGCGATGAGGTAGGCCACTGAGGAGGGAGTTACAATAGTCAAATAAAAGATTATGTTATTAGCTGAAGACAGGCTGGGCTTCCCTGAAGAGATGAGTTTTCATGGATCACCTAAAAGTGGATAGAGTAGAAGATCGCCCAGCAGATTGGGGTAGGGAATTCCAGAGGATGGGAGAGGCTCTGGAGAAGTCCTGGAGAGGAGCATGGGAGGAAGAGACAGGGCGCTAGAAAGCAGGATGTCTTTAGAGGCACAGAGAGGACAGTTTGGGTGATATTTGGAGACCAGATTGGTAGCTTGGGGCAGTGTTGTATAAGGCTTTGTATATTATTGTTTATGTTTTGAATCTTATTTGTTGGGTAATGGGATGCCAGTGGAGGGATTGGCAGAGAGGAGTGGTGGACACTGAACAGTTGAAGATGAGTCTGGCAGCAGCATTCATGATAGACTGAAGAGAGGATAGCCTGCGATTAGGTAGGCCAATGAGGAGGGAGTTACAATAGTCAAGGCAAGATTTAACAAGGGAGCGAATAAGTTACTTAGTTGTTTCAATGGTTAAAAAGGGATGGATTTTGGAGATGTTGCGGAGGTGAAGTCTACAAGATTTGAACAGTGATTGGATTTGGGGCTGAAAGGAGAGGTCAGAGTTCAGGATTACACCTAGTACCCTATAAAGACCTGTTTACACCAGCCAGCACACTCCTTATAATACACACATACTGGTGTGCGTTGTTTAGGGGAGGCATGTTGCTTGGTTACAGAGCATTGCACTGTTTAATCTTTTTTAGCTTTACTGAAGCATCACAAACTGACACCTCATTCAACTCTTTGTACATGAACGCATTGGGAGCACCATGTTAAAAAGTGGCAACTTTTATTTTTAACCGTTTCTCAAACCTTTTACCATTAAGGAACCCCTGCATAAATTTTAGATCCTGTATAATGATAATAAATAAAAAGAAAAATTATACATCTTTACTGTGAAAATTGAGCTTATTTTTTTGCCACAAAAATCTCAATTCTGGTGAAGACATGCAAAATATCAGCATTATAAAATAGAAGAGTATAACAAATATCTAAATGAGAGAATCACAAGAAAAACAATACGTATGCATTAGTGTTCGGTACAAACCTCCTAACTGTAAATTGGAGCTCAGTGCAAAATTCTAACTTTGCATTGGTGTTCATTTCATCCCGCACTGCTAGCTCACAATGGTAATATTAGGTGCCTTTGAGCAGATACCAATCTTTCAGTTGGTAATGCTGGAATTTAAGGCTTATTAGATTGACATGAATCAAATGTACCATTTGTAAGTAGCAGAACCCTAAGATTTCACATAACTATGGTTGAGACCCTTTGATATACAATATATTTTGGTATACAATGGTAATATTATGTACACAAAG